TACATACCTACATACATACCTACATACATACCTACATACATACCTACATACATACATACATACATACATACATACACACACACACACGTATGCACACACACGCGCGCACATACATATACATATTTTCTCAAATTTTACCGATAAAAAAGCATATAGATCATGTCTGATCTAAATTGATATTGTCAAATCAAGTTTAGTGTGTTACTACTTGTCAAATCAGTCAAAATAAACAATTGCATCTTGTGCACATGTATGCATGTATGCATGTATGTACAATCATGGAAGCGACCAACGTGCTGCATTTAATCTTTTACAGCGAGTTTTTTTTATCGCTGTCTTGCCATTAGCTTGTTCTCATGAAAGGCATGTGAAAGGTTAAAGGGCACGGTAAAGCGTAAGAAAATAAGGAAATTTGTGAGAAGTATTACTCGATGGAGGCTCGATGTAAAATGACAAAATGACAATATCAACGTTCGAGGAGCAGAAAGGAGGAACACGCGAGAAGTTGTCGCGGATGCGGATGGGGATGGGAGGCAAGACGGAGACTGAAGTTAGGCAACGTAAAGCAAGAAGAGAAATGCGGAGTACCGTAACAGGTGCAGGAGAATAAAATCTCGGCAGCATCTGGCCGATGCAGCCGCGGGGGTGGAGGGAGGACGGAATGGCGCGGGTATATTTACGCGATACGCACCTTTCTCGCTGTTGAACGCGCCTAACTCGTCATCCCGCGACACTTGGGTGATAATGGACGATGCGTCCATTTAAACATTAGTCGGTGGTCCCTGCGTGCTCGATCGCAAATTCCGTTAATGCGCGCGCGCACGCGCCAGCCACGGGCAGGCGGGCGGGCGGGCGAGCGAGGAAGCACAAACGAGCGACAAGCGCGCACACGAGAGAGAGAGAGAGAGAGAGAGAGAGAGAACGAGAAAAAAAGGAGCGCGACAGTCCCGCGCGCGCGCGAGATAGGGATCTGGGATGAGAGTGAGCCAAGATCTGACGCGCGCGTGAGGGAAAGAGGGAGAGAAAGCGCGAGCACACAAACAAGCTAACCTCACTCTCTCGAATGAAGCCTTCTCTCACATCCCTCCCCAAAACCAGCGCTACCGGCACCGCTGTTCTCCCTTCCACTACTCCTACTACGTAGATGAGCGCGCGACGAATGAAAACGCATAGGCGCAGGCACGGCACGCAGGGCACGCTCTCCGCTCTCGATCACTCTCAACTGTACGAGCAGTACGCGTAAAAGATGTCAGAGCTTACGAGATCATTTACGTGTGTATATGTGTATGTTGAAACGCGAGATCTTCCTCAGAATGATTTGCGCCGAGGAAATGAAATAATGTCGCATGTCTCATAAAATCTCTTCATAGATACTCCCGGAATGCACTATGCCGCTCTCGTTCTCTCTCCTCCCTCTGCCTCTCTCTCGCTCGCTCTCTCTCTCTCTCTCTCTCTCTCTCGTTCTCTCTGATCACTCGCGACAACTCGGTGACCAGCTTTCCTTTCCTTTTTCACATGCCACACCTATCGCCCATTGCGCAATTGATTGCTATTCCGACGGTGCATCACTACGGCCACGCATGGTTCGTTTTTATATCGCACACGCTTCGTGGAAAGGAGCGACGCGCGACGTGTGTACATATGAACATACATACACGTACTCCGGTCAGCGAACGGCGCGAACGGCGAAACAAACACAAGCACTAAGCAGTCAGCACTGTCAGCAGACACCAATTGCACGCTCTTGACAGCTCTCGGCGTGCTCAACTCCGGCGTGTAGTTAGTAGTATTGTATAGAATATTGCTACATCAACCTTGAACGGACGAGAGTCTATACTTCTTAGACTGAATCGAATAGCGTTTATTGCCAATATTTACAGTTCTCACCTCACGCAACCGCGACACGAGAGTCTTGGACAGTCCGTGACACAAACGGCGAAAGAAATTGCATACGCATTATTGCGATGCGCAAAGCAACATCTAGAACTTTACGCTATATATAACTCGAGCTTTGATACGATGAAAGAAAAAAATTAAATACATCGATGATCGAAATTTGATGTATTGCATTAATCACGACTTGTTAGTTCAAGTCGTAATCACACAGTTCAATAGAATAATTTTCAATAATTTAAAAAGCTCGTATATCTACATCGCAATTGAAATTACATTAAGACTGAATGGGATTCAACTATTTCAGATAAGAATGATAAAAATCTCTTTATTCTGATTGGTCGAATCTAGTTATATTTTAGGGTCTTTTCAAATGGATTTATACATAAAATGGTTTGAAAACACAGGAAATCAACCAATCGCGTACTTCACTTGAAAGATAATATGTGTTGCACTTTTTGCACTCAATATCTTTGCTCTCTTCTCTTTTCAATACCTATTTTGTAGGAACACACTCACGCTCTTCGGGAGCGTTTAGGGCCTCTTTCGCCAACTTCTGATTAAATTAATCGACGATTAATTCGCAGAAGTGCCAACAGCAGTTTCAGATATCATTACGTCTCCTCTCTCTTCCTCTTCTGTGTTTAGTTTTCACATTGGCAATCGTGGTGATTGAGTTAATCATCGATTAGCGTTAGGCCGGAATCAGACCATGCATTGAAGATTGAGATTAAAGATTAAAGATTGAAATTTCACCAATGAGGACAAAGAAGTTTTGGCTTCTTTTGTTCTGATTGGTCAAATTTCAATCTTTTAATCTTCAATCTCATTTTTTTCAATCTCATTCTTCAATGCGTAGTCTGATTCCGGCCTTATAGCTCCAGACACCAACGCGATGTTAATCGCACGCGACACACGATATCCAATAACAGTATACCTTTATGTCTTATTTACACTGGCGCAGCAATAGTCAAGCAGCGGAGCAGCAACCAATCAGTGAGTAAGATTTACAGTGGCGTAAACAATATCGCCTTGCTGGTTGATTGCTGCTCTGCTGCTTGACGCTTGATGCGCCAATCAGTGTGCATTAGGCATTAGAATGAGAATATCGGTAAAGTTGTACACTCATTAGATATCGCGCGCGACGAACATCATGCTGGCGTGCTGGAGGCTACATGTAACACGATTATATAAACCAAATATCGATTTATCATTTCTAGCATTGAAAAGTGGACGATGTATTGTACTTTAAGAAAAGTGGACGTTGCTATATAGTTTACATTCACTTTGTCACAGGGCAGTAGTGAGCGGCAGCATTTTGCGGTTACAGGTTTTGGACCGTAATGTCCTCTTTCAGGTTTCTCTCTGGTTCAGCAGACTCAATGGCTGCGTTCAGCAGAAAAAGCAGCTTTGCAACTGTTGAAAAATTTTTTAATGTGATTGGTTTGCCCTTAGTTCCTCACTGGATCTAAATGTATAAACTAATTATATTCAAGAATTTTTACAACAGTTGCAAAGTTGCTTCATCTGCTGAAGGCAGCTATTAGTTGATTGCTATTGTATTCCAGATATTCCAGATTCTAAAATGCTGATTGGATGATCTAAAAGAATACACCAATAACAGCGAGCGCTCACTCAACTGTATGTTGAGTCCGCTGAACGCAGCCATTTAAACAGATGACGAGTCGAAACTGTCAAAAGTCATTCCACGGTAGAATCATAAATCATATAATGATGCATAATACATTTGATATTTCTTAGTAAATTAATATGACAACTCGTTCAATTTTACAAGGTACACGCATATACTTATTATTACTTTTTATTTAATCAAATGTCTGAACAATATATCTTTAAGTATAGACAAATATTTTGTTTCTCTGTATGTTAAAAAGTTATAATAAATATTTATATAAAGATTATATTAAATATATATAACTATATATATTTTTTATATTATTAACATTTTTCTTTTTTTTTTTTTCATTTGTAGTTTTCGATCAGTATCAGAAGGCGCGATTGCACTTTGTGCAATCCATTGCAGATTTAGCTTCAAAGTCGAGCAACATTGATTGTCTAGAAGCAGCAGGTGTCATTGATCTCTTACGTCCTTTATTAGTTGATACTATACCATCCATCCAACATCTGGCAGCAATTGCTCTAGGCAAACTAGCGAATCATAATCCTAGACTAGCTCATGCTATCATTAGAAAAGATGTATTGTCGCATTTGTTGCAACACATAGACAAACAAAATGTACGAACTCCTTAAATGTAAACATTTTGATCGTGATAGAGAATAAAATTAATCTAAATCGTTGTATTTCCTTGCTCGGAAAATTTTGACATACAGCAATCATCTTATTAATCTTTATATATAATTTCCAGATATCTCATTAAGAGGATGCTGAAGCCACCTGTATTATCGATAAAGCTAGTGTTTTTATTCCTGTCCAATTAATTTTGTCCGTAGTAATTTCACAGAAGAAAAATTTCTTTTCCACGATAAAAAAAAAATATATATATCAATACTAATATGTACTTGGCGCTGTTATTTCGTGTCCTGGAGCCAAAGCTGGAAAAAATAAAAAATTATAGATTTCTTTATTCATTTTTATCACTATATAAAACGACCAATGTTGAAAGTATAATGGATAAAAAATATGTAATTTTTTATTTTTTCTAAATTTAGATACGAAATACAACAACGCTAGATCCATTAACATGTATATTTTAATCGTGAAAAAAGAATTTTTATTTTGTGAAACTACTACAAAGAAATTGGACGGCTAAAAACAAAAACATTAAAAATGCTTTATCGATAATACAGACAGCTCCAACATCCCCTTAATCATTTATACTACATTAACTACATGTACAAGGAATGGACGAAATAACATGAATAGAAAAATACTAGAAAATATACTATTTGCCTGTGACACAGATTATATTATTGAAATAGAGTTATACAATACTTAAATAACTATAATATATTAATATCCCCTACAGCACGAAATATTGCAGCAATATTTAAAGAAACATGCCAGATAGCAAACTACGTCATTTTGTCGTCATTTTGACGTCATTTTGATGTCAGCTTGCTACCAGGGATTGCATACTTGTTGCTATAACATTATGCAATATTTCAATAAATGTTCCAGTTTCATTAATTGCTAACATATTATTGTGTGTTTAGCATCATATTTCAAAATACATACGATAAAGTTATAAACTAAAAATATTCTAGGATCTAGAAAGCATATCCAAAAAAGATTAGGAATCTCTAGGAGACTCGCTAATTCGATTCGCGTATTTCTTCTTATTGGATTTCTAGACGTTTCCTCCTTACGAGAAGTGAGGAAACGTCCCTCTCGTGTCGGAGCCGCGTACTGATTTACTGAATTGTAATATTGCAACAATATATTGCAATATATACTACAAAATATTAAAATTACAATATTTTGCAATATTGTTGCAATATTTTAAATAAAATATTAAAATTTTAATATTGTAGAAATATTGCCGCAATTTTTGTAATATTCGGCATTATTGAAATATTGCTACAATATTTCATGCTGAGGATTACACCATTCTTTTAGCAATTTAGCAAAACACGTACCTTTAAATTGCTCATATAAGTACATTGAAGGAGAAAATTTATTTGTCTCTACAAAATCGTCTTTTATTATCCAAAATTTAAATATCTTTTTTGGCTAATGCAATCACCTGATGTAAATTTCATCAAATCATTGCAAATAGATTTTAAGAGCAGAATGAAAAACAGATTTCTTCCTGCAATATCTCTTAAGTGATTGAAAAATGTTCCGCCAGAAGAATGATACAACATTGCACTATTTAAGCATTAATGGCTCGTATTCAGAACGCGCTTTTATCTCTGAAATTCTATGCGTAATGTAAATTATAGCAGGTTAGCGCGCTAACATCGTTGTAAACGCGCTAACCTGCTATAATTTATAATTTCTGAATACGGGCCAATGACTTTTCAAGCATTTTATGACTCTGTTCCAATAAGGATAAAATCAGGAGACACAATAGTCTCGGCGCTAAGCCAAGCACAGCTATTTGTACTAACGATAAAAACAAATGCTAGGCCAATTAATAAGACGAATAGTATATTTTCTCAAATGGTAACATTATATACTTTGTCCATCTTCTCTATATACTATAAAAACATTTTTTTAACTATTAAATGAAATATATTGTCACAGAAATTTTACAAGAAAGCGGCGCTATTCATTTTGCGGGCGATAGCCAAGCATTCACCGGAGATGGCGTTAATAGTAGTACACAATGATGGCTTGCAGACTATAGTTAAATGCTTGGAGGATTTCGATCCTGGAATAAAAGAAGCAGCTGCTTGGGCATTAGGATATATCGCGAGACATAACAAGAACTTAGCTCAAGCGGCGGTGGATGCTAGTAAAATTATCATTATAGTTTTTTCTGCAATAATTATTAATAAGGTATTTTACTGGTTAATCATATCTCTGTCAGACGCGATACCTCTTCTCGTATTGTGTCTGCAAGAACCCGAATTGTATATTAAACAAATTGGTGCATCGGCTATTAGCGACATAAGTAAACATAGCATTGAACTGGCGCAGACAGTAGTAGATGCTGGTGCAATTTTCTTCCTCGCGAAAATTCTGCAGGCCAACCTCGATGCCAAAGCAAAGGTAATCTGATACAAATATACAGCTTTGGTCATAAAGTATAGATCCCAAAAATATGATATATACGTAAACTTCTATATTTAACAAACAATAAATTATGAGACGATTTTATTTAAAAAATAATATTTATTTTTATAACAATTTAAACATATTTAGTTAGTTTTTCTGATTTTTATTCCGCTATTCTTCATTTGGAGGAATAAATTGAAGGTGCTTTACACTGGGATTACCCGTTTACAAGTAAAATATAATTTATGTCTAAGCAGGATTGCAGGATAATAACTAGTTATAAGTTAAAAATTAAATAAAAAGTTAATAACTTTTCACTTAGTTAATTTCAAATAAATTAATTTCCAATTTAATT